CTGACACACACCTGAATGCTTAACCATAATGATACTTAAACGCGATTCAATTGCGTGAGAAAAACTTTAAAGTACATTGTCGAACTGTAATTACCAGAACTATAATATACGTATATTTTTTATTAAAGCTAAATATAGAGTTACAATTTGATAGATTCTCAGATCAACTTAGAATTAATATTTATTTGAAATGTTAGAAGTTACCATTTATCGCAATTTTCGGATTTTAATATTATATGGTTACATGTTTGGCGTAACTAAATTTCGAAATAAGAGTGTAGCAACAAATTCAAATAATTTTTTTAATTAATAAGTAATACATATTTAAATATATAGATTAACTCAAAATTAAAAAAATATTTGTCTAATGCACATTTAAAAACATGTTTTGAAATGCACATTTAAAAATTAACATGGAAAAATGTTTTAAACAAACATTTCATGATATTCAATAAAGTTTATAATTTAGTTTAAAAAAAAAAAACGTTACATTCTATATATATTATTTCCCATTACTTTTGTAAATTTCGATATTTTCGTAAAGATAAAGATTATTTTGCACATTATTAAAATATTTTACGTAAATTTATGCATACGTATGTAAATTTATAGATATCAATAGTGCTTCGCAAAAGTATTTTAAAGAATTAATTGATTATACGCGGGCGTGTGCTGATGAGGCATATATGCAACTTAATGTATGCATCTTTTCCTATCTGCAAGATAACACTTTCCTACTTATCTATTTTTTCAAGATGTCCAAACTACTGTCATGGTCCAATCTCACAGATTTATCTTTCCGAGTTCAACATTATTTGAGATTTCCCATATTCCTTACGAAAAGCGGAATGAAATAATATTTTCTTCATAATAAACGGATATGTGATTTTCCCAAACCACGTCAACAGACTTGATATAACGAAAGGTCTTTTTAAAGGGGATCTCCCGATTAAATTATTTCAATACAAATACTCTTTAATCATTGACCTTTAACCTTTTGGAATTTATGAGGATAATGATAGAAAATATATTGAGAAGTACATCTATGTTTTTAAAAGATTTGGAAGACTAAGTACATTAAATATTATAAACTGTCAACTAAAATATTATATATGTATATATACATATATAAGTATATTACAACTTCAACGATTTATTAAAAAAATATGCTTCGTAAGCTTCTAAGAGTTTCAATCTTTAAACGCGCGAGAAATAGGTGTAAAGAAACACGTATCTGTTATTGTCAACTGTATATTCTATATGATTCGAAACAAATCAAAATAGAAATGGAGACTATTTATATACATTTCCTTAAAAAAAAAAAAGCAAATATTTTATCTATTCGCTAAATTTGCAAACTACTCGTTCATTAATCATTCGTAACTCGAAAACCATGATATCTCAATATTTTCATCAAGAAAGAAGTCAACTTCGAATTCATTTGAAAACCTGCCGTTAAAGTTAAACTCGCGAATTAAAGAACACGTAACTTCCCGTAAGTGGATGCAATCACGCGAACCGAAGCCTAAATCAAGCTAAACTTAAACATCCGTAACGAGCGCTGTTAATAATTTCGAGGAAGTTAATGCAACTTATATAACAAGCTGCAACATCGGTTTTACTCGGAAGGGATAATATTATTTCACTTTATAATATTTTCATCGTGGAGGATATATTTTAAGAAAACTTAAATTGGACGTAAAAAGATTAGAATCTTCTCCTGTTTATTTTCCAGCTGCTTATTATTCACAGTAAATTTGTTCGCTTATATTAAACACTGGATTTACGTGATAAGTTCCTCGCGACGAGTTATTTTTGCGCAACAGTGAAAATACGGGGCAACAAGAATTTTCACTTGAACGACACAAGTCATTGTCGACTTTACATGCTGAATTATGCGATGCAGCCCGTCGATCTGTTATACGCGCGTAAGCGCGGCGTGACGTCAAGAGCGAATATGGTGAGGCTGGATTTTGCTGGGCGGTATTCCTCGCCGCACTCCGAGTATGTACAACGCTTTTACATAAATTCGGTATGAATAATGGCGCTGGAAAGTTCTGACGTTCCCTAAGCATCCGTTCTGATGTATTTTGCGGTCCTCGGGTATTATTTTGCTAAAAACAGTGCGCCTGTTCATGTAACGCGTTTATTATTTGGTGTTGTAAAACACGAGTTGGACGCGGGGATAAATCTTGTGATTTCGCTGACGGTTACTTATGACGGATACTTATATAAACCCCCCCCCCCCTCCACCCCGTGAACATGAATTGTGCTGGGAAGAACGGAGAAATAACAGCGAGTCCTCTCTTTCCATTTTGAAATATTTATTAAACTTTATTTTTAAATATATCTTAGCGAGCCACCTATCATGTGAGTCATAAAAAAGATAAACTGTCCGAAAATTTTATTTTGCAGCGAACATAATTAACACTTCAGCTTACAAAAATCAACAACTTCGTGGAAGAAATGAAGGAAATCGTGAATGTCTGAATGGAAGAACCTAAAAAATCGCTTTTCTTCCCTTTTTTGCGACGCACGAACTATATGAATGTCAAAATACTACTCTCGCGATATACTTCAGTCTATACAATATTAATCTATCTACGTGATAACTATTTTTTTTTATTCTGGTCTTAAAAGTTGGTCTAGTTGCTTTATTTAAATCATAACTTCGTCAATCGATCGTGGATTCACGAATTGTTGTTCACTCTTGATATTATCTTGACACCATCGTGGATTCACGATCTAAGATCGTTTCAGATACAGATTCAATTAATTTTACGATTCGCAAGATAGTGAACACGAGTGATGCGCTTTTACAAAGCAGACGACCGGTTTATAGCTTATTTGAATCGCGTACAATTAACGTTATTTTACATAATCATATATCGTTCTAAACCCAGGTCTGCAAGTGAAATTCTAAGCCACAATGACTGAACTCAATAACTTTTCTCGAATAATATCACAATTTATGCCAGCGGTGATAACAACGCCGAATTTCATTTTCTAGGACGAAATGTATTCTTCTAAGAAGACATAACGAAACGTATATAATACAATCGATAAAATTAATTGAACGAGATTAATTTATGGTTTGTATATATATATACGCAGGAAATAATTTCGAATACTTAACGTAAGGACGGTAAAGGAATTCTTGAATATACGGACCCTATAATTGAGTATCTTAATACGTAATTACATCCCATGTCGACACCGAAGAGCCATATTAAATAAGGAATAATTACTATCTGACGATATTAATCTGTACGCTTAAAGTGATTAATTCCCGCCTGATCGTTGTTGCTTCAACGAAAGTGAAAGTGACTAGTTTTCCACCGTTTACTACTTGTATTGCACGGAAGTATTGAAATAAAGTCTGACATTTTATGACTTTTACGGAATGAAATACGCACGGTAACCCAGAAACAAACTTTCTTGCAAATTCATCATTGACCATTGCAGGTCGATGTGACGGATCCTTTTCCTAAGAATCAGTGACAATTTAATTAGACGTTATTCTCACTTATCATTATTATTATTACTTCAGTACTTTATCTTCCTAACTTGGCAGTTTATTTAAATTCTGATAAATTAAATTCTTCCTGAGATTACGCAAGGAATAAAATTTGGTGTTGTATACATTTGCATGCTTTCTTGAACTTAGTTTCCCAAGAACTTCCAAGCAGTTTTAACTTAAGAAAATGATATTCCGAAATTAAAGTACCATTCCTTTCACAACTTTAACGACTATCGAGAGATGATACGCGACTTCTGGGTCACCCTGTATATAGTACGTGCCCTGTTTGTAGATATATTACAAAGCCGCGGCGGAGCAAGGCCGGCGGAAGCGTACATTTAAATTCATGGAAAACTTTTTCTTAGAAAATTCTCATGCACCCGGGCACTTAGCGATAATTAATTAACCCATTAAATATCGTGAACGTCACGCACGCTTTTTACGACCCGAAGCGCCCCGGACGTCATCTCTAAGCGCGCGATATATGTTTTATCGATTGAATTTCTCTTGTGTACTTACAGCCTTACTATAGCCCGTCATACATCGAAACTGCCCTAGAAGAGAGAAAAAATTAAAAAGTTTAGCATGGCAAAATGTCATCAAGCGCTTCGCAGCTCCGCTCGCGTGAGTAGCCGCCGCCGCCGCCACTGCCGCCGCCGTCGTCGCTACGCTTTCTCTACGAGAAGAAACAAATGTACGAGGAATACGCGGCACTTTCACTTTCCTGTAATTATTATTATGTAGAGTATAAGGATGGTCATGTGACAAGGCGCGATTTATTCAATATCCCGTACATTGTTCCTCTTTCGTTTCTTTTTGTTCTTTGCTGAAGACTTTCTTGCTAACAGTCTTGACACTTCAGAGCCGGAAACGCGGACACACATTATGTTCCTCACGTACACACACATACGCGCACACATACACATAAGTACACCCACATACACATATCACGATTACATTTTTATATGTATAAATCACAATCGCAGTTTCTTCTCATACACGATTGCACTTAATCGTTACATTTATATATTTATATTTATATTTATATTTATATATATAGATTGTACGGTGTGAAATTTTCGTATACTTTGTATACGTTCGCATCGTACTCGATAAGCAAAGTTTTTTTCTTTTTGTATGTTCACAGGGCATAACTTCCAGATCCGAGGAAAAATTACGAATACTCTTAAATCAAATACTTTCTACCCTTTTTTTAAGCTTATTTTAAATAAAAATGTACATACAATTTATCCTTGTAATAAATTTGTACCCGCAATAACAAGGTTTGATCGATATCTACTACGATAGATAGGAAGAGAGAGAGACAGACAGACAGAGAGAAAGTGAGAGAGAGAGAGAGAGAGAGAGAGAGAGAGAGAGAGAGAGAGAGAGAGAGAGAGAGAAAGAGAGAGAGAGAGAGAGAGAGAGAGAGAGAGAGAAAGAGAGTTGGCTATGTAATAATAAACTGGAAAACAGAGGAAAAGGAGAGAAAAAAGAGAAATTGAGAGAGGAAGGAATACAAAGGATCGTCAGTAGTTGCCACGTTGTTCGCTCTCTATCCACACATCATATATAAATTTCAAATAAACCTCGGTAAGGCAGTGCCAGCACGATGATACACATAAGGTGGAGGTGGCGGGCCGGAGAAGTGTCTTTGATGCTGATGAGGAAGCGACGACCGGTGAGCAGCCGGCTCAATGGTTCCGCCCGACGGGGAAACATGCGGTAAGAGGTGCGACGCCCCGTCACCGAGATCCAATTCCAGTTCCTGCTCCTCGATTAAATGCAGAGCGCCGAAGGAGGACGTCGCCATCGCTACATCCGGCATCACGCCCGACAGTTGGCCATCGCTGCAGGAATTGCCCTCTTGCCGCTGTAAACAAGTCGGAGGCGTACTGTTTGCGTAATCCGTTTCTCGAGGAAGCGACTAATCGAGCGAGATATCGCGATCACGGAGCAGTGATATGATTACGAGGTGAAAAAAAAAAAAGATAAAACGACAAAGACTCGCGCTGCTACACAAATAGAGGAAAACATTTCTGTAACCACGGTTTAAGACTCGCCCATGCGCTTACACCAAGAGTACAGATTGTACAAGCCGGCCCTGTAATTTGCCATTTCCCAACTAGATTCATAATTCCGTCTCGCAATACCGAGAGGGATCGAGAAGATCTATAATAGAACCTTGATTATCCGACCTAATAAAGACAGGCCCTAAACATTAAATAATCAAGAAAATCCGATAATGGAGATTACATTTTTTTCTATAAAAAAATATATTTTAGATCTAAGTTATTTTATTTATATCTTCGGACTATATACCTTTAGACTAGCTTAGACAATCAATTCTCTGTTCTTTATTAAATAAAACATAATTTTTTTGTACACTAACTATACATCAAAGAAATGAACAGTTTAAGAGTGCTCGATAGCGAGATCGGATAATGTGAAGTTAATTAATCCGGATTGTAATTAAAAATATCTAGGCCTGAATACGCAAGATTTTTAAATCACCCGCGAGGTAATACAAATACAACAACGTAAGCATGCCGTCCCTTACCTCGGCATGTCTGCTCTCTCCCTCGGTCACTATAGCTGGAAGTTCGTGTCTATGTGCGTAAGACGAAGTCGGCCGAGGAAATGTCATGTTCCTCCCGTAACACACCGGGGCGGTAGTTCTCACACGAATACCCATGCCCGGCGAGTCAATGTCCTCTATATCTGTCATCCTCTGCTCGTTTTGCTCTTTCATACTGTAAGACGCTGTGTTCTGAAATCGATATGCCGGCAATTTATCGCGCGCTGTCCGCTAGATGAAAGATGCATTAAAAGCTCGGAATAATACAGAAGGGGAAAGACCCCGCGATTAAGCGGGGAGAGAGAGAGGGGTGACAGCGGTTTGTGGGACGTCGACAGTATCACACCGGGAAATATTAATCGAAGCTTCGTCGACGAGGGGATCGGATAGAGTCTGAGACTGGGATAGCGTAAATAGACGAGATAAATTAGTGAGAATTAAAGTCGATTACACGTTGAATTTTATTTCTATGAATTTGTTTCGTATATAAAAACCCTCACCTTTCCACATTATCGGTTTTGCTAATTGAAGAGAGAATGAGGAGATTTTACAAAACAAACTCGTAGAAACGCGAATCTCCGTTTACGTCCTCCGGGCCGAGGGTGAGGGTCTTTCCTCACCTATCTACTGAAATAGAACGTGAGCCGTGACCTAATTGACGTGTGCCGTACGCGTTGCCTAGGAAGACATTAATGCAACGAACAGGGAATGACGCCTTGCATACGTTATGCGGTTGTCGTAAATTAGCGAGCGGCGACGACACGCGCGATTATTTCACGAGCGGCACAACTCGCACCTGTTCTCAGGTGCCGGTCTTCCCATTAGGCCTTTTCTTCCCACACCTGATCCCGCCCGTCTCGCTCGACAAATGATAAAGCATTCTTTCCGCGCAACACGGAAATTACACGTAATTTTTGTTCATTTTCTTCTCGGAACGCGGTTTCTTTGCGTTTTTGTCTATCTGACACGCTACTCAGACTATACGTCTCTCATCTCGGAGGTATTAAACTATTACGTCACTCCTAGAGCACTTTTCTAATCCGGAAGATATTAAATCATTACGCCGTGTCGCATGAGTCAAAATAGCGAGCGATAATATCGAGTTGTAATGATACACAAGAGAACCTCTGAGCACTTCCGCGATATTATCTAGAATAATGTTTACGTATTGAACAACGGTCTTACCGCAAGATATTGAACCGCATGTGTTAAACAAAGCTTGTAAATAACGATAGATACACTATTGGCATAAAATTTATGACGATTGTGTTGCGTTCCAATTAAAAGTAATCAATTTTGAAAACTTGAAAGACTTAAACGTAACTGCTGTATATTAATAACGCGATGCATAAAAAACCATTCTTCGAAGAACTATTGTAATATTCAAATGAGACAAAATGTTTAATATGTAACTCCTACTATGATGTTATTTTTTTGCAATTCAATCAGGACAGCGATCAAATATTTTGTATTTTCTCCATAAGAAGAACGAGTTTAACGATGAATATTAATTCTAAAGATTATAAAGACGTAAGCGAAGCGATAATAGAAATTAATTATCGAACTCGGTAAACGATTCATTCAATCGGCAAAATTTATAAGTTTCCTTGAATCTATCTTGCATATCTGAGTCATTTCACAAAAACAACAAACAACTCGATACAAGCAAATTGCAGGATGATGAGATTGCTTTTTGATCTCGCGTCAGCAATATACGATATCGTTTCGAATGATCACCAAAGTTCTCTTGGTACATCATATTGTTTTGAAATGTTATGTCATCCGTACATGACGATACGTTGGACTGACAAACACGTATGTGCGACGATATTAACATGCATAATTTTACAAACAGTATATAACGCTTCATATTCGCGTAACGTGTAAAAAGAGTCTCCGTGCGCTACCTGCATTACGAAACACGTTCAATAATTTGTTTGACATTCGCCACAGAAACGGCGGTCGCAAATTAAATTCTATTTCTCTTCACGCGCGTACGTTAAATTCTAAATTACATGTATTAAATAATAAAACTGTTCAAATATATTAAATTTTCCTTGTCTTCATTTACATCTGTTCAAATTTATACTTTGAAATCATTGCCTCAACGAAGCGTAATCGTTTCCTATAGATTTTTTTAGGTCACTCAATACGATGTTATTTTATTTACCAATTGTTTTATCACGTCGCAATTTTGATGTCAAACTGTTACAAAATCCGATTTTAACGTTGTATCACCGACAGCAATTTTTTTTTATATTTCATTAATGTCACGCAAAAATATTAATTTTTAGCTCCAAAATAATTTTGTTTCGTTTCGATATAATTTTTCGTTTTCGAGATATACTTAATAGTTTTAAAATAGTCATATTGTATTGTCGACTTTATATTATTGCTTTTTGATTTATTGTTAGTATAATCTGATAATATGAGTACAGTATTATGTAAGCACAAAAGTACTTACTTTCCACACACACACACATATATATATATACAATATATATAATATTAAGATGGAATAAAAAGCTTTTTCTATGTATTGCATGGGAAGAATTATTTTCAAATTACTATACCTCAAAAAATTATACCTATATTGTATAAAATAAAAATATATTTTAAAGTTAAAAGCTGATCTTTTGCATGACACATTAATAAAATTTAGAAAAAAATTGTTGTCAGTATTACAACATAAAAATCCTCGCAAGATTATTTTTTTGCTCTTTGACGCAGTTTTTCTCAAAATTGTGATGTAAGAGGTAAATTTAAAGAGCGGATTTATGTTCGCACAGCTGCAGGCAAAATACATAAAAACAAGTAAAATTGTTAAATAAAATATTTTATCGCAGATTAGTGTTATTACGATAAGCAAAAGCAGCGAATAAAACGACTTTTATACTTTACATTTTAAGATTAGATCGATTACTTAGATCTAACAATATTATATAACCTTCTATTGTTTGGAAATAAATGGAGATAGTTTTGAGTACTCAGACTTGTAATTCGCGTTTGCTGATTCACATTATTTTACCCATAACACCGAAGCCGCAGTGATGCAACATGTCGCATGTATTTGATAATACATTTCTGCATTTATTCATGCATAATACTGCACCAGGTACGCTATAGAGATTGCATGCGTTTCATCCGATTGGTATAGTAGTCGCAAGTGTCGTTTCATGATTCATCCGCTTGTCACCCCAGTGCGACACCACGTATATATCTATCGCTGTACAAACCGCATTTAAACCGGGACATAAAGATAAATTATTTTTTGTGAACACACAGCCGCTCTTCAGGATATCATCATACGCATGTCATTCGTGTATAGTCAATAAAAACTCTGAGAGAAAAACAGCGACATTTTACTGAATTAAAATGTGACATATTTGTAATAATATATCTCGTTGAGAAAAAAATTCTGCTAATTAAAAATTACATCCTGAGTAAGGATTATGTTTGCATTGTTATTGTAATAAATTGTATCACGAAAGCATGTTGGCGTAACATTTTATAAATATACAAAAAAAATAAAACAATATAGGTAAATAAAAAATATTAAAATAAAACATACTGCAGAATATTCGTTCTCCGTATCTAGGTTTTTCTATCAATATACGTATCGACGTTGCATGCCGTCTCATCGTTCGAGCACAGTACTGCTCGTGGTTTTTGCTAATTTGTCCGATATCGAAAGTCGGCTACACTGCTGGCGCGTTTGTATCGCGCAAATATGAACAAAATTCATCAAGATAAATATCGATATAACTCGAATATTAGAAAATACATATAATTTCAAAATTTCGCAAATTATACAACTACTGTTTTGGGATATGTTAAAATATATCATTCTATCGTCTTTAAAATCACTTCAAAAATCCTTAAAAAATATAGAAAAATATAATAACAAAATTTTTTTTTTTAAGTACAATCAATATTTATTTTTTTTAAATAGCAACTTTTACTTATGTTAATAAAAAAATTAAAAGGATAGAAAGAAGACTTGAATATTTAATCCTTTATACTGAAAAAAATTTCACAACATAAATCCATATTAATCTAATTATTTTTGTAGATAGAGTATTTATATAAAATAATAAATATTATATATAAATATAAAATAAGTATATCACCGTTGACATTGGAAAATCTCAACGGCGCAGCTGTTCGAAAAGATTCGCAGTTTCACGAAGAGAGGAAGAATGTCTCTTGAGGACTCGTTTGCATCTCATTGCATTGAGACAAAATGCGCATCTCGCATCAAGTATCATCTCAGAGCGCTAATTCAAGTCGCTTTTGCGCGGACGTCTAATTCGACGTTGCGTTAGAAGACGTAGATAATGCGAACAGCAGTGTAGAAAAAGGGGGAGAATAAGAGGCAAAGTCAAACAGCGACGAGAGTCTATTCACAACGTTAGTCGCGCGAATTGCGCTGTGTCAAAGTGCCGTGCCAAACCTACGCGTCGCAGTGCATAAGACTTCGCAAAAAAAAAAATAGAATTTAATGTTATTTAATTGCTTCCAATTACGCACGTGTTACCATACCAACTACGCCACGCCGGTAACATCGCATTCCTGATAAATGTGTCTCGTTCGCGTATCGCGCTATCAGTGTTAAGGTAAATGACGTACTCATTAATAGTAACGTATATGTAAAATATAACCGGTAGATCGAACACACAAGTGATGATTATATAATAAAACTTTTTTCTACGTCTATTCCGACTTTAAATAAATGCACAATTGGCGCATAAGCATTTACACTCATTCTAAAAGCTTATATCGAGCTTATATCGAACTTGTATCGTTAAATATTTTGTTATTTTTAACTTCCATATGTGCCAAAACGTAAATTAATCCATTTCTGGAATTAGTTTCAAAGTAAACAACGTCCACATTAACGTATGCATTCAGTAAGTAATAAATTACATTTGAATTAAATTTAATATGTTTTCTCGAGTTAAATTGTTTAACTCCATTGTTTTAAATAAATTAGTGATATATCGAGTATAGGAGCAGTGATGGTTTATAGAAAAGATTAAAAGCAATTCAAATTAAATATAATTTAATATTATGAATTTAATAGTGTAAGGCAAATGTGGATTATAATTATTAATACATTAACTTGTACAAAGACTCAGAGTCATTCTAGTTAAATGCGAGAGGATCTTGGCGCGTGTTTTTCAACAATTTCGTGAAACGACAAAAGATTTAAATATCATTTAAAGTGAAATACCATTTAAAAAACGTTAGTATCTAAAAAGGCAATTATACGTACGACAGGCAAAAATCCTAATATTTCTCTTATTTATTTTACTTTAATAACAGATCTGTAATATTATTTTATCTCACATTTTATCTTTATTTCTCCTCGTTAATACAACGTGAAGGCCAAAATGATATTGTATAATCAGAGTATTGATATCGTACAAACTCACACAAAAATCAAGGACTATATTCGAAAGATAAGAATTGGCGAACGACTGCGTGTATGAACAGTGAATGCAGATGTGATTTTAATATAAAACACGTTTCGAACCTTGTCTACAAACGTGCCTAGCATGCTTGAAAATTGATCATCATTAATTCCGATCATAAATACGCCGTTTCGGTAGCTTTTAAGCAAAAAGTATCGTGATAAACTTTCTTGTATTGAGTTCATTTGTTTTGCATGACGAGCTTTCACATTGAACACAAGAAATATCTTCCACTTTGAGCAGACTTAATGTTGATTAAATATTCTGAGTACTGCAGTAATAAACGGTTTAATATGCGTTACGTATAACCGCGTAGGAGTTTCCTAATAAACTATTTAATAGCTCGAAGTTCTTAAAACAATTTAATTCAAACTGATATATTAATTCTTCCCATGAAATTACAATACAATGTCGAGCTTAACGAGGAAAATCAACATATTATTGACGGTATCAATGACACTGAACTTCCGAGTTTTCAGTTTGATAAACTGCGCTGATACGCAGCTGCTGAGTTCGTGCCTGGCATACACGTCCTTCTTACGATTTAAATTAATTCGCGACACTTGCTTATTGTTATGGCCACGATTGTGTCATTTCAATCATGTATCATTTATGCACGTATAATAATGATGCAACGATAAAGTCGGTTAATAACAGAAAGGTAAGTGATCGCAAAGAAATATCGAAGTTTTCTTTTTCTTTTGCGTTTCTATTCGATAATATCTGAAGAATCGTTTAATCTATTATATTAATTGTGTTCAAGGAAATCACTTATTATTTAAAAATAATTTATATTGCCTTCAGTTATATCCGGGAAATATATTAAAACATAGGTATCAGATTTATATTTATAAGTCGAGAATAATATTTGAAGACAAAAGACATCATACTGTTCGATTATTCTACTTTAATTAAAATTTTAGAAATTTTATTTTGATTTACACTATAAAGATATTTCACACTAAAAGTTAGAAATTTTATTTTGAGCTACTTGAGTTATAAAGATATTTTGCACTAAAAGTTGAAACTATGTCGAAGGAAATCGTGTGCAGCGAAATTTTCGCTAACGACTTTGAATAAGTCGAAGAAGTCGAAGATGGAAGATAGCGTGAGAAATCTGAAACTCGCGTACGTAGAGTTAAATAACATTATGCATCTAAGAGTGAACGTTCGTCAATGCAGCTTTCGTGGGATGAGAACCTGAGATGAGATAATCTACAGCTTCCGTATTAAAGATGCATTTGCATATGCGTGGAAACGTGATCAAGTCTATTAGCTAGAAATAATCATCGCGAACACGATACAAAATTAAATGATTGTTGACCGATTATGACATAATAATGCACAGAAAAAGAAGAGATACATATATTGCCTCAAGTTTTTCCCATTTTTTGTCCGTCTCATTCCATTTCCTTGTAGTTTGCAATTGCCTTTCAGTAACTTATTTTATTTTTAAATTGATCTATCTAAAAAAAAAATTTTTTTTAACTATCGTCTATAATATTTTTTCTATAATCACAAATTCTCAATTTATTATTTGCTTTAATACAAATAATAAAACGAAGAAAAACATTCCACTGATATTTTCTGAAAATACATTGAATTGATAGATCTTCGCAAATATAGGGATATAGGTCACGGATATCCCGAGTGATCTTTGATGCTCAAACTTTCAATATTACTTTCAATATTGATCAGATATCAGTATATTCTAGAAGTAATATAAAATAAAAAGCTGAGTAATGCTCCTGATATTAATAATATGCGTTTAATAAACGTGCACTTGCATTTATTTTCATTAATTATTAATCTTTTTCTTCTATTTAGATAATATTTTTACACATACACATATACATACATATATATTTTTCCTAATATTTTAAGAATTTAGAATGAAAAAATGTTATAATATATATATAACATTATTTTAATATTAAACAAATGTATAAAATTGAGGTAAATAGAGATCTTTATTCGTAACAACTTCCGAAAATAAATGTGTTATTACCAGAAATAAAACGTCACGTAACGTTGGCTCATGTTCGTTGCAGTCACGAAGTCAAACAATTATACAGGGCACCGAGTTAATTGAATGTCTCAATATGATATGAGCCATAAAAGTCTTGAATGACCATTGTCTTTTGACATCAACGTTAAACAGTGTAAAACAAAACATAAAAACTCAACGTTATCTACGCGATAAACAGTGCAGAGCGAATTACAGTGGCATGAGCTGGCAGTGTGATATTAACAAAGTTGCAATTGTTATTTTTAAAAAAGTTTACGCACTTTAGGGATAGTTTAATCACAACAACGAATTCGCTGACATCATTTCTGCAACATTTATCTTAACACTCAAAGTTTCTCGTATCGCGAGTTCACTATAAATAGGTTGTACGCTCTTCGGCCGCGATAGTCGATTGATCTAGCCAGAAAGGCTCAACTGAGTTTCTGTCGATTCACTTGCATCCATGTAAGTGCAAAATAATGACGTTCGCGTTCTGCTTTCTGAGCTCACACTGATTATATCATTGACCTCCACATCATTTATTTGTGACAAAAATCAAACTATCATGATTAGAATTTTCCATGATTTTAAAATGAAATGCAATTACATTTTAAAATGCATTTTATATGTTACAAATGAGATAAGGAAAACGATTAGTTTATCTAATATGAATTGAATTTGCATAAACGAATCATAGTTAGTGAGCAGCCCACCGACAAGTTCTCTCCTTACTATGATATAAAATAGCGACGCTTCACAACATAATGACAGTTAATGCTAGAACATACACGCGAGTGAACGTTAGGAAGTTACAAACACATGTACACTTGTATCGAGGATAGCACACAAAGTCTAGTGACGATACAGTGATCTTTTTTTTCGAACGTGGAGATTAGTGCTACAGATATATCTACGCGTGCAATAACATTTATAGCTATATATAAAGCTGTAAGTAAATTATACAGCAATTACTTTAGGAACTATAGAATTTGAAAAAATTTAAAAAGGTTATCAAATGTGCGTTTAAAAAACTATAAATTATTCTAAGAATGTTCGATCTTTCAATTTATAAATTAATAATTTTCCATAGGATCACATTTCTCATAATAAATGCTCAAAATTACGGACATTTATTTAGAAAATTTATTCTTAATAAATCTGTCATTTTCTTATTAAAAATGAGAAGAAATTATTTGTAAAAAGAGAAAGTTATATAAAATATCGAATATAAAACTTGGAAAAAGAATTTATTTATGATTGTTATTAAATTACGATCGAAATCAAATTCAATATATTGAGAATTTCTTTTAATACAAGTCCACAACATTGAAATCGGATTGGTATAACTATTGTATTATTTCAGTTGAACATTTTGAATAAATTGAAATAATATGTAATCCATAATAATCCATAATCCAGAACACGTGCCTCTTTCCCAAAATTATCTAGTAACTGTTGATGTTATGTTGTGGAAATATCAGTTCTACGATTGATAAGAGATATTAATTCTATATATACTTGCGATAGATTTAATTTAATTAATTAAGCCTATTAAACTATTAAATAAAACGATTAAATATCTAAATCCAATTTCTCAGGATACGTGTTAATATCTTATTTTTCTCTATATTTATACAGTCTGTGAATCCTGAAACTTGTAGCTATAATTTACTTATATTTTGCACTTTTTTATTACGTAAAAATAAATTTTAGTAGCGTATAATTAAAAAGTATTAAAAATTAAAAACTTATAATGGAAAAACTCAAAATTGGCTGAAATAAATATATATTATATCTTAATTATTTCTAGTTTTAATTTAAAAGAAATTTAATTTACAGAGTCCCAAGATACATGATATTGGTGACTAAACAACATCCAATCTACGTAAAAGAAGATTTAACCTCAGTTTCCAAGAAATTCCTCGTAGCAAATACGTACAATGTATGTTAGTTGATTTAATCTTAAATGTAATTGAAAGCTTGTATACACTGTTGCGCATTATTCGACAGCTCACCTTTAATCAATTTCATTTTTATTGCTTAACTCACGAATTAAGTTATTCTATCAGATACTATAAAACATTAAATTTTTATTTTATTTATTAATTCGTCAGATAGTACTGGTGATGACGTAAAATTAGAGTCGAACCGTCTACTTTATTTTAATAAATAATTTTACACACGTATATCTTGTCGGCTTATATCAGCTTAATTTTTACATTTGTATAATTTGATTATTTTAATTTTATAATAATTTCATTTAATCTGTACAATTATTATATAATCACACACACAGTATAATTAAAAGTTTTTATTTATTTTCTTTGAAATGATAACTCTCTTTAATATGAAATCTTTTTCTGTTAGGAAAACGCTCGATATGCTCCCTGTTAAAAATATGGACACATTGTTAATGCAAACGTATGGCCCCGATTTCCAAATACACGATGTGGAATGGAAACATTTAACAGATCCGGGAGAAAACTTTGGTAGTATAATACTGGCTGTCAATATCAATGCTGGGCATAATGATAAGAAGAGAACTCTAAACGTGGTTGTCAAATTACCGCCAAGATCGGCGTATTTGTTAGAGTTGTTCGACAGTCCATTAACATTCAAGAAGGAACTAGAATTTTATAGCATGGTAGCACCAGAATTTTTGAAGTTACAAAATGAAAGCGGAATCCCTCGGGAATCCATAAGCGTCATCGTACCGCAATTTTTAGGCGGTAGATTAGGTTTGCATGATCCGCAGCATTTCGATGAGCAGGCCGCTATCGTTTTAGAAAATCTAAAGAGTTACAATTATATAACGCAAGACCGAATTATAGGTCTAGACCAAGTGCACATGAATTTTGCGATCAACCATTTAGCCAAGCTACACGCCATAGCAATCGGCCTAAAGCTCAAGAAACCCGAATTCTTCAAGAAAACGGTACTACCTTGTCTAGAGTTCAACCTACACGAAGCCACGGAAAAAGCGACGGTAGATATGATACAGAAGGCGCATAATGATTATAAAAATATAAAAGAAGCAGAAGCTTATTTGAATAAAATCGAGAAGACAATCGAATATGGATATACACATGATGTAACACCGGAAGAACCGTGGGCGACACTAGTGCATCATGATTTTTGGGTAAATAACATGATGTTCAAATACGATGAGTCAGGTAAGCCGATTAATATGAAGATTGTGGACTTCCAATTAACAGTCTACAATTACGGTGTAAACGATCTCATATTTTTCCTCGTATCAAGTTCCCAAAAGGAAGTGCTCGACAATCATCTTGACGACATGATTGATTTTTATTACGACTCTTTTATCGCGAGTTTAAAATCACTAAATTTAGACACAAACGCATTTCCTAAGAGTCAATTTATGAAGCAATTGAATCAATGTGCACCCATCAAATTTAACCAGTGCATCATGATGGTGCAAGTAATACAAGCAGCGCGTGGCTCCGTTTCACAAACGGCGACCGAAGATGGAGACGAATGCGTTTTTACAGGTGGGATCGATGACGATAATTATAAACAAAAAATGTTGCACGTCTTATCTACATTCAATCGAAAGGGATGGCTCGTGGAATGATTAAACGTAAAATTCTATCCATAGCAAATTAATTCTTTAGAAAAAGTCGTTTTTTATTACAAAAAAAATAATTACTATATAGTAAGGTGAACAACCGTCTAAAATTAGGAGACACAATTCCAAATTTTAACTCTTCGTCTCACTTACAACGCATCTCAAATTTTGTCTCAAATTAAGAACATGATTATGAATTATCCCTTTTTTTAGTATGAAAATAGTAAGTAAAAATATAATTTGTAACTATTAAAAAAGTGTTTTACGACAATTAACATTAAATTTTTTTAAATGTCTCTCTTCTTAAAAAGTTAGTCACCATAAAGAGAATATTGAACAGGTAACTTTATAGAAGCGCTAATATTTATATAAATATATGACAAAAGTTTTCAGACAATATTAGATGTGATAAGACGATATATTAGGTAATATTACATAATAAGAAATTAGCTAATGAAGCTAATGAAAAACAATTAACTAAGTCAACTGCTAAGACTAATTTGATAATAGAAATATTAACACAAACAATATGCAATGTATCTGTCGATACTAAAAATGCGACTAATGTTTTAATGGCACATTTTTAAATATTTATAACATTTAAAAATCATATTTTTTAAAATGTATCATAAACAAGTAATTTTTTTAGTGTAAATAGTACGCATGACGCACATAAAGCTTGTAGTATCAATTTAATTTTATAAAATGAAAACATATATTTATTGTATTTTTGATAATATATAATAAATTCCATATATATCATTAACGAAACAAAATGGAGAAAAAAATAACTGTTTGTATAAATATTGTAAATTATAAAGCAATATTTTATGAGAATACATGATTATTAATAAAATTTAGAATAAACAGTACAACAAAAGTTATTACCTATCTTTATTTACAATTTACTCAATCACAAAATAATTATGTGTAGAATATATTTTTAACTTTATACGCGCAAATATATTTAAATTCTTGAAAATATTTAGAATGTTATATTGATATATATATTTCTAGCATTTTATGACACTCGTTCACAACCAGATTTGTTTTTTATTCCTGCACTAAATTGCATTTAAATTCTCTTTTTCACTCTCGTTAAATATCTCTGTTTCACTGCAAATTAACAAAGAGTACTGGTTTAACTATAGAACACAAATCTATCACACGGAATTCGAAATAATAAAAAAAACGCACTATGTATTATGGTTTAATCGCAGAAATCTTTTATCTTTTCGCATATTCGTCTGTTTTCGTATTAATTTTTCTTGCTCCCAATTTATCCAACACGGATGCGATGTTATTATATACATGCTTTATTACTATTATTGTTTATTGCTTTAAATTATTATAAACTAACATAGAGATAACATAGAAAGACTTACTTCAAGAAGATCGGCCACAGTGTCGGGTAAATTGAACTCCCTGACAACGCGTAGACGCACTTGTCGATTAATTTCGTGTCGTGAAGAAAGCGGCAAACTTATCGCTCGTTGACAACTGGGCGATTGTTTCAATTTCTGCTCACGTTTCAACATTGCGGCCATTGTTGCAGAATCTGGTACTATAACACAAATAAAAGATCTTTTATCTTGCATCACAATTATTATCAGTTAAACCTATCTATAAATTTATTTTTTATCAACTGTCCAACCATTATTAAAAATAATATTTAAGCACACTCACTTTCTTATTACAAGTCTGCATTTTTATGTTAAATTGTATATATAATAACTACATAATGTATAAAAACTAAGTTTATGTTAATTTTAAGGAGAAACACTAATAATTTAATATCGTTAATACCTGGAAATGCAGCTGCAAGGACATCAACACCAGCAGTTCCCATGGCTCTTGGTTTCTCTTCAACCATATACAACGCATCCGGTATATCTGCCACATATCGTGGCTTTCGTAATCTCACTAAATCAGCTTCCTGAATCATCTGTTCTTCCACCAAGGACTAATATTGAATAAATATAGTAATAATTAGTATATTTATTCTATTAATCAATGTGTTTCTGATTTTGAAAATTGTATATTATTATTACCTTGATCTCTTCATAATACGGCATGAATAGCCTTGGCCTTACAAAAAATCCATTTTTCTTTCCGCCTCTTATCCAAGCATTTACCCTCAAATTATCTTTTTCATCTCCTATCATGTGGCTTGGTGGAGTTGAAACTAATCCTCTCCTAATAGCCTAAAAATTTGTCAACATAAAAAATATATTAACAAGAGATATATTTTCTTTTAAATAATTAAAAATGTTTGGTAGAAAATATACTTGTACTAATGCTTCGCTATTCGGTGGCAATATATGATCTATTCTGACAAGAGGCAAAAGTTCACTCAATATCTCCCGCAATTCGATGTCGCTGAGATCTCTTTTCTTAATACCCTTCCTTGTCACAGAATGCACGGTATGGCTAAGCAAATTAGGTTCCCGATCCTCCATTCGACGTACTAATTCGTGTTCGCCCCACTTGAGCACTGCCTGCAGTACTTCAAGTTCGCTCGCTTGTAAAAAATGGCTCTGTAAAACATTCGCTAAGTGGGCATGATCTAACTGATGAAGAATCGAGGACGAAGCAATTGGCTGAAATTCCTCCCTTAAGTAATGCAACGCTTGTCGGTGCACCCATGCTGATCCGTGAGGTTGACTGCCCCATCTGTACGTAATATAAATTTTTTAAATGATATAATTTAATTTTTAACTTTTGTAAAAAATTTATTAGTAATCAGATTTACTTGAGAACAGTTGGTAGCGATTCCAAGGTGAGGTACTCCAAAATAAGATCCTCGCAACCTTGTGATAATATATCAAGCTCGAGGAATCGTCCAATCTGGTACAACTCCATCGCTTCTTCTAGTGGGCTTGGTCGCATTCGGCCCGTATGTGTTAGAGCTTGAACCTGTAAGTTTAAATAAAAGTATTAACATAAAATTAATATATATAAGTGAGCAGAATAGTTCTATGCTAAGACTTTCTTACTTCTCCCAAACTACCAGCGCTGCTTCCACAACCGCTTCCTCTCAGTATTAACGATAAGTCAACGGTATCTAAATACACAGCATGTAGTAATACTCTAGCATATCGTTTAGGTATCACGCTTTCATCCAACACTATTCTAGAAGGTATGTGAAGCGCCCTTTCTGTGTGATCCTCGCCCGATCTAGTTCGTCTTTGTATTAAATTTCTGAAGAAAGGAGATCTCGCAGAAAGTATTGCTTTGTGACATGGCAGCTCTAATTTCGGACGAAATCCGTACTCCGAACTTCCACTATCCGGTCTTTGATAATCGTTGTCCGATGTGAATACAAGAGCAGCATCTGCATAATCGCCGGTATCCAGCAAATATCTGAGATCATGTTCCAGTGGATTTAGAGTTCCAAACTCTTCTCCGAGTCGTCGAAGTAGGTTTGCTTCCAAAATTGCATCGTGTGGACAAATATCACCAGTGTAAAGATACCGTAATAATAATGAGAACATCTGCACTTCAAGATGTGGAGTTCTTAACTCCAAACATATTCTAGCACCATATCCTGCAAATTTTAATGAAAGATATGTATATATGTCTTTACATATTGTGTATGTGTGTGTGTATATGTGTGTGTGTGTATATATATATATATATATAAAACAGTATTTTGTGCATAAAATTAATTTATAAAGAAAACAAATTGCTATAAAAAACTTTATTGCTTTATGAAGAGAACGTAAACTGTCGTTAAATATATACCAGGACAACCAGCCAGTAAATCCCTAAAGTATAGGCATCTGGCGGAAAGCACGGCTCTATGAACGGGAAAACATGCTCCTCTATATACAAGATCCACATCGGAACAGTGTTTGAAATCGTATAACATCGACAGATCTTGCTTAAAAGTAGCCGCTGGCGGTCTAGCTAATTCAGCTTGAACATGAAGATCTTTCAATGCAGCTAACGCTTCATACTCTTCAAGCAAAGCAGTTGCTTCTAAGTGACTCCATGTGGACACCAGGTCTCTAATAATTCTACCATGATCACACGCTTTAGAAGAACGGCGTCTTCTAATAAATTTCTTGCGTAGCGTCGCAAATCCTGTCATCTTCTTCTTTTTTTCTCTATACATGAATAAACAACTATAGAAAGTTTGATGTGCGATCAAACCTGTTGCTCTTATTTTTCAATCATTATTCATCTATTTATATATTTTAAAATATTTTAACACTGCATACTTTTAAAACTCACTATTTATTTACATTTCTTGGTTATAAGATAATATTTAAACAAACATTTTAATATTTAAAAATAGTCACATTAATAATGATTAAAACTTTATGTGTGCATATATTGTAAAACACAAATCAATTGTTTTTTTATTTGAAAATTAGAAGACTAATATAAGTTTTATTTGCAACGCTCGCGAACATAATTTTATTCTTGTTATTTATCAAACGTAAACAAGAATGATGCTCGCGAACGCTGTGAATGCCAAATGGGACATATCCTATGACATACAAATATTGCAAATGTGTAAAACGTCGATAGTGTACCTAACTGAAATGCCATGTTGTTCTGGACTACTTGACGCCGAGAGTCTGGCTGCATGGACTGAATCTCCACCTACACTGGTGATGCTTGATGATGCAGAAGCACCCATTCTATGTGTCATGTGAGAGGCATCTCCAAGCTGCCTTCTTATAAACCAGGAGTCCCTTTTATCAGTATTATCTATACCCCTTATGCGTCTACGTTGTAACACACACGGTGTCAAAATACGAAGTACATTCATTGCTTACCCAGACGACAGCCTGAAACAAATCAGTATGCATACATATTAGTAGGTGATTTAATGTCACAGTATAAGATTTTAATTTGTACAAATTATAAATCTGATATAATGCAAAAATGGGAAATATAACTCCTCACATATACTTTTACCTAAAGACAATTGTATATCTACCTATTTATTTAAATTCTTCTTCAATGTTATAAATAATTATATCTAATTTACTATGAATTATAATGTAAAAAAAATACGGTGTTATATACGTTACTATTAAATATTTCCTTCTGATGAAACGTATGTTACATTTTAAAATCGCGTTTTGAGTACTCAAATGTTTCATTTAAAATTACAAATGAAAATTCACGCTTACGCAAGCAAAAAATTTCACTTCGAGCAAACTTTAGCCATTAAAAAACATGTGAAGTATTAATATTAAACACTTGATATTTAAAAGTTTAAATTGGTTTAAATTTACGAAATTTGTTCAACTCTTGAACTTAAACATATAAACGGTGCTTACATACTTAAATTACAGTATTGGCGTATATGCAAACAACGTGCAAACGGAGCACCAGGCCTCTGAGCAACAGAGAAATTGACGTATTGATAATACATCGCATAGCGACAGATTTCCGACGAGCGTTTTCCCGAGAGGTAACATTAGCCACAACGAGGGAAAGGGGAGCACGCGCGTCGATCTCTGCGATCACGGGGTCGGTAGATCCCATGAGACATGACACGGTGCTTCGTTTGGACACAACGCGAAGGTGTCAGGGGGCTGTGCGAGTGGTAGCGCAAATAACGCGTGACGGACCATACAATCAGCGATACATGACGTGCAAAGCAAAGCAGTTCACTCACCTTCGCGTTCACAGGGACGAAGGGGGGAGAGGGAGATGGACGAAAAATAGGAAAAGGCTTGGCGATATAAACCACGGGGGTCGCGCGAACAGGGATAACGAGCGAGTTGCACACAAACAACACCCGCCGTCGGCCGTCAGGTGAAATTCGCGGATTTCACGACGGCGACGACAGCGGCGGAGGAAGAGAAAGGAAACGCGGGAGGTAAACGGAGTACACGGCGTCGTCGTTACCTGGGTCTCCGAGCCTGGCGTGCCACATCCATATTACTCGCGTTCACTCGGTGCGACACTCGGCCGCACAAACTCTCGCTGATAATCATCACAATGCACGACAGCCATGTTTATCATCCGGGGGAGGGAGAGAGCGAGCGAGCGTGTGTCTAGCGTCTCTCATGCGTGCGCGCGCCTATGTGTGGGTGTATGTGTGTATAGGGTAAATAAAAGCGAGCGGAGAGGTAGATCGCGGTCGCGGCGCCTAACGGTGTCGTCACTAGTCGTCACTCGTCGCCGCAGTCGCGCGCTGCGGGCGGCTCGAGAGCTCGAATCGAACGAATCGATCGCGCCGCGATTCACGTCAAACGCGACGTCATCAGACTATTCAGAATTCAGACCACTTCGGACCGCGTCGGATTGCAGACGCTGCTGTTGCGATGACGTACGATCGTCAATGACGACACGACGCTTCAATAATGCGGTCGAATTGCGTCAAATGTGACCTATTTGGCGTCGAAATTTTGTCACATTTCGCGCAACATTTCGTAAGAAAAATTATTCAGATTTTCGTGACAAGCTATTTTAGCTGCATTTTAATTTGGACGCTCACGCGCTTTAATCATTCTGTTTTTATGTTAGAATAGAAACGCTGAAAGTGCCAAAAGCGTTCAAATCGAATGCAGTCTCTTCCTAACTTGGTAATATTTGACGCCAATCGCTTCGACCAATGTTTACTTAACAGCAAAAAAAGCGCGACTTTCAATTAGTCACGCATAGCTCAATAGCACATGAATTTGCAAACATAAATCAATTATTAAATTATCACTGAAATTAATTATAAAGTTATTATCAAAATCTTATATTACGATACATGAATATTACATAAAATGTGATCCAATTCATAAATTTGTCTTAAAATTTGTGAATATACATTTTTTTACTTTAAAATTATGCATAGTCACTTCTGTGTGCCTCGTCACTTCTCGTTATTTACAAGCGTTTTAAGTACGTATACAACTTTAAGACGTTAAAATCGATCAGCTGTATTACCTTAAAATTTAATAATTGAAATAATATTAATTATTAAAATAGAAAAGGACTATGAATATCGGTCATACAATTATTAAATATGTAACTTTGTTAGTTTTTATTTTGTTCCCTTACGTAATACTTTTTACAATTTCTTTCCATTAATACAATTATAGATATGTATATATCGTATATATGTGTATATACACACAATTTCTTAAAAATAATTCCCCAACAAAAAAGAATTCCCCAGCGTTATTATAGCACAAACATAAATTGAAGAATGATATAAAAAACAAGCATGTTATTACAAATTAATTTAGAGTCTTGCGTTTGTTCCACCGGATACTATTACAGTTTCGCCAGTGATATAAGAAGCATCATCACTTGCTAGAAAAGCAGCCACGCCTGCAACCTCATCGGGCATTCCAAGTCTTCTCATGCTGCTACTCATTATAGCAAATTCGTGACTTTCTTCCGACTCGTAAAGCTGAAAACATAATAATTTATGTATGAAATATCCCTTTGACATACAGCTTTAACAAGAGTACACAACTTAGGAAGTTATAGAAAAATACCATTTTTGCCATTTTAGTTTTTATTATTCCTGGCGCAATACCGTTTATACGAATTCCCTCATTTGCAAGCTCGCTTGAAGTAGCTTTGATCAGACCTAATAAAGCAGTTTTGCTAATTGAATATATACCCAGTAGCTGAAAAAATATTGACAATACTATTAATACTTTTATTATGTTAATATTTAATAGAGAAGATAATAATCAAGGACAAAATGTTTTCACAATCAAACTCACATTAAAAGGCTGATATCCAGCGAGTGAAGATATAATGATAATGGAAGGTGATTTGCTGCATTTGAGAAGTGGCAAAGATTCCTTCATTAGCAGATACATACACTTAACATTGATGTCAAAAATCTTATCCCACACTTCTTCATCGCTGTCCAATACTGTACTAACCACCGGATTAATACCTGCATTAGACACCAAAATATCCAAGCCTCCAAAGTCGCTTTTGGTCTGTAATTTATCACAATTTTATAACTTGATACACCAATAATAATTATAACTTATATGATGACGCAACCTACAATTAGAAAAGTTATAGAAATGAGGATATAAGCTTCTCTCAAAAAGATTGATGATTTATCATGTTCTTTACTTTTTCAAACAGATTTTTCCTTTCTTCTGCTTTTCCTACATGACAGACGGTACCAGCAACTTGCAAACCTTCGGACTTGAGTTCCTCTACAGCCTTTTTCACATTCGCTTCTTTACGGCTACTGATCATTACCTTGGCGCCTTCCTGGGCTAAACGTCTCGCTATGGAAAAACCTATTCTGTAAACATTCAAAACATAACCTAATCGTAACATTCAGAAATAAAAAAAATCAAGCAATTCTAATTTATTTTCGCATTATAATAAACAAAAAGTAGGATTTTTTAAAACCAACGTTAATATTTGAAAACATTCAAATTTATGTTAAAAATATGAAATATTTATATTACCCCTCTGTGGATGCTGTTACGATCGCGACTTTTCCTTCCAGTCGATGACATTTTATCGAGGATGCACTGGCACTGAATTGTCGAACACTTTGGTTAATCGCCGTACGTAGCATGTTGAAAGATGTGAGACAGATACGTTTAGTGTTGCGCAATGTACAATATCGCATATTCGCATGTCCTGTCCTATAGACTTTGATCTTTCAATAATGGATTTATATCCGATATCTCTGTATGTATACATACATGATATTGCATCATGACACAGCAGAAAGAAAAAAAAGATGTTCAGTTTGTAAATTATATATGTGTGTGTGTGTGTGTGTGTGTACATACCACACA